ACACACACCATACACACACACTCACACACACACCACACACACACACACTCACACACACACACCATACACACACACACACACACGCACACACGCGCACACACACACACTCATCTACACACACACACTCACCCCCCACACACTCATCTACACACACACTCATCTACACACACACACTCACCTACACACACACACACACTCATCTACACACACACATACACACACGCGCACGCACACACACACTCACCTATACACACACATATACACATGTATACACTCATCTACACACACATACATACCTACACACGCACCCCTACACACATACATACACACACACACTCACCTACACACACACACACTCACCTACACACACACACACTCATCTACACACGCACATACACACACGTATACACTCATCTACACACGCATACATACCTACACATACAAACCTACACGCACCCCTACACACATACATACACACCTATACATACACACTCACCCTTATACACTCACCACCACATATACCCACAACCCCTCCACACACATCCCTACATAAACTCACACGCACACATACATATGCACACACACCTTTAAAATAAACCTGCTTGGGACTGGAGAGATGACTTAGCAGTTAGGAGCACCAACTGCTCTTCAAGAGGACCCAGGTTCAATTCCCAGCACCTACATGGCAGCTCACAGCTGTCTGTAACTCCAGTTCCAGGGGACCCAGTGCCCTCACACAGGCATACACACAGACAAAACACTAATGCTCATAAAATAAAGTAAATAAATTAAGACAAGGGCTGGAAAGATGGCTCAGAGGTTAAGAGCACCAATAGTTCTTCCAGAGGACCTGAGTTCAATTCCCAGCAACCACATGGTGGCTCACAACCTTCTGTAATGAGATCTGGTGCCCTCCTCTGGCATGCAGGAATATATGAAGACAGAACAATGTATACAAAATAAATAAATAAATCTTTTTAAAAGAAAATTAATTAAAACAAAACAAAAAAAAATCCTGTTTAGCTATTGGTGTTCTCACAAACATTTTACTTTGAATAAAGGGTTTTTCCACTTTAAATATTTTTTTAGATTTATTTTATTGTATTACTTACATGTATGTGTGTCTGTGTGTATTGTATACACATTTATGTACAGGTGCTTGAGGCCAGAAGAGAGGTTTGTGTTCTCCAGAGCTGGAGTTCCAGGCAGTTGTGAGATGCCCATGTGGGTGCTGGGAATCACATTAGGGTTTCTGGCAAAGGAACAGGTGTCTGGACTGCTGACCTGTCCTTTAGTTCCCTTTAAATAAAGCTTAAAGTCACCCGTCTAGTGGGAAGTAATGAAGTCCAGGGATTAGGAAGCACCAAAGTGCAAAGATACGAGCCCCCAGGACTGAATGGAGGTAGACCCTGGAGTGGGGAGGTTTTTAAGATGGGGTCTTGTTTATGTAGTGCAGGCCAGCCTCACACTCACCTGCTAGGTGGTGATTTCTACCTTTGTGATGTAGAATCTGACATCCCAAGTCCTGTGAGTGTTTTACTTGGCTAAGTCTCTGTGCTTGGAGTTCTTTGGTCTGGGAGCATCAGCATCATTAGAGTGCCCCTGAGTTGTGTTTGCTGTTCTAGCCCTTATCTGGCGCACTTGGTTTTTGTTTTATGTGTATGTCTGTGCACTACATGCATGCAGTACCTGGGGAAAGCCAGAGAGGGCATCAGATTCCCTGGAACTGGAATTACAGATGGTTGTGAATCTCCTTGTAGGTACTGGGAATTCAACCTGGTCCTCTGCCAGAGCAACTAGTGCCCTTAACCACTGAGCCATCTCTCCAGCTCTGGCATACTTCTTAAAAATTCTGATAATAGGCCAAGGACATGGTTGAGTAGGTAAAGCATTTACCACACAAGCACGAAGACTTGAACCCCTGGAAAGCCATCCAAGGTACTGATTGTCTGTAATCCCTGAGCTCCACAGCAGGTTGGCAGGCAGCCACAGGAGAGTCCCCAGAACACCAGCCATGAAATCCGCCTCTCACCAAAGGGGAGGGCAGTTGGTAAACATATTCGATGGTAGTATAAATTAAGGGTTTCTTCTGTTCTTGAAAAGAGATCCTTAAGAAAAGGACAAGCCCTAGTGGACGCAATTGCTGTGCACCTAACTGGTGAAGTACTCCTGTGTATGTACAGAGCTTCAAATCGGGTTTTTCAAAAGACAGATATAACCCGGTTTCTGAAACAGATTAAAGACAGGTACATCACAAATGAGTGTACACATTCTACTCACTATCCATGGAAGTTGTTCAAACTCAATGATCAGGGAGATGCAAATCCAAACCACAAGGGACTGACTATACCGGCAAGGACAAGGGACAAGTGCAGTGTCTTTCTGCTCTAGAGGGAAGGTCACCTGACACAACCACTTTGAAAATACCTGGCTCATTCAGTTGAACACATGTATAGTAACAAATGTCTCTAGGGAACGTCTGTAATGCCCACCCACATAGAACGCCGTATTGACATGATGCCGAGTAAAAACGCTCCACAGCAACTCGCCAGGCATGTGTATGCCCACAGCCCCAGAACTTGGGAGTAGGGTAGGACAGGAGATTCCATGCCAACCTGGCTATGTAGCCAGACTATCCCAAAGAAACAGAATGTGGGCTGGGAGATGGCCAGGCAGGCCTGAGGCCCTGACTTGGGATCTCCATGGAAGAAGCTGTGGGTGGCAGTGGTGGCAGTGGTGGCAGTGGTGGCAGTAGTTCCAGAGCTGGGGAGGAGGTGGGCAGAGGAGGAGTTCCTAGAGCTCACTGGCCCGTCAGTCTAGCCTGATTGCTGAGCTCTGAGCAATCAGAGACCTTGCTCTTGTAGAGGACCCACCTCAGGCGTTTCATAACCACCCGTGACTCCAGCTCTCCGGGTCCCCTGACTTCTATGGGTACTTGACCCTCAAATACACACACACACACACACACACACACACACACACACACACACACACACGAAAATAATAAATCTTTCTTAAAAAGTGAGGAAGCCAGGTGTGGTGTTGCATACTTTTAATTCTAGCACTGGCAGGCAGATCTCTGTGAACTTCAGCCCTGCCTGGTCTACAAAGCAAGTTCCAAGCCAGCCAGAGCTGCACAGTGAGACCCTGTCTCAAAAAAGCGAAACAAAAATAACAATAAGGTGGACTGGAGCTGGAGAGATGACTCAGTGGCGAAGATCACTGGCTGCCCTTGGGGAGACCCAGGTTCAGTTTCCAGCATCCACATGGTGGCTCATATCTGCAGCTCTGGTTCTAGGAGTCTGTTGCTCTCTTCTGACCTCCATAGGCACCAGGCATACACGTGGGACACAGACAGACATATAGACAGAATAAACACACATCTGGTATGGTGGAGAACATCTGTGCAACACCAGTGCTGCTCTCTGGCCTCATACACACATGCATACACACATGCATACACACATGCATACACACACACACACACACACACACACACACACACACACACACGACAGCAGGAAAGTTAGACACGAGAGTACGTTTTATATGATGCCATTTAAATAACGTTCAGAACCTGGTGAAATTATTATGTCAGGGCACTAGTCCCCTTATGAGGGAAGGAGGGACTGGTTGGTTTCTTGGATTCTTTGATGTGCTTTTTAAAGCCATGTCGTAAATAGCACTGAGGTGTTCGCGTTGTGATTATTCATCTAGCTGTACGTTTTTGATTTATCCATTTATTGTGTTTCGTTAGAGACATTTAGAATATTGACCAATACATTTTTCAGATTGCTAAACTAAGAAACACGGTATAAATGTTAGCTTTAGTCTCAGTTCAGAAGTGAGTTGAATCTCTGGCCTCTCCCCCAGAGTTAAGAGCCTCGCCAGTGATGTTAGAGCTCTGGCTAATGTTAGGATTGTCATCTCCATTTAGCATCCCGTCTCCACTGGCACCTTTATAGGCTGTGCCCTACGAGTCTGTACTTAGTTGTGGCCTTGCATTGCCCTTCCCACAAACAGCTGCTAAGACTGTTCTCGTCTGTTCTGTCCTAGGTGTCTTTACCTAGTAAGAGGTTGAGCACAGAATGAAGTGACTGTCAGTTGTGCCCGGTACTGCCCTAAGAACATTAACATGTTAAATTCACACAGGATCACCAGAAAGATTATCATCTTTACAGACACAGTAACTAACCCCAAAGCAGACAGGCCTGCCCCCGGTCACTCAGCTGTTAGGTGATGGAGACACATTGCAAACCCATGCAGTCTGACCAAGATTGCTGTTCGTTTTCATCTTCAGTGTTGGGGATTGAACTGGGTCTTCATGTGCTTTTACCCCAGAGTTCCACCCCCTCCCTCTCCATGCTCTTAACAATGTAGCTTCATTAAGACAAGAAGCTAAGCAGCCAAGATATATGCTACTTGAGTGTCATGCTGTGCATTTTACAGTGTGGGATAGAGTCTAGACTTCCCCACCTTATAGACGAGGCTGAGACACAGAGGTGTGACGTCGGGTTGCTGAAGGCACGTAACTGATAAATCCAAGGTGTTGAAGTTGGTCTGTGAGCTCAGGTCGGAGCTCCAGCTCTGTTTGCTACGCTATAGTACGTGTAGACCAGCAGCCGCCTGCGTTCCTTGGCTCAGGTCCCACCCACAGTCTGACTCCCCCAGCACAAAGTCTTAGCTTTTGTGCACTGGGAAGTGCCGTGCTTGTTGAGTGTGTTGAGGGCCCACGTGGGAACATGGGTGACTCCTGGCTAAGCCTGCCTGGGGTTTGTATTCTTTCCATCCTGGAGTCATTGCCTGGAGTTGAGGTCAATAAGAGTGATTGAGTCGCTGTTCTTTAGTGTGCTGCGTGTTTTGAGGAAGGTGATTCTTGCCTGTTACACAGGCAGTTCTCTGCGGAGGCATGAATGTGAAATATAGGTAGAAAGCCAAAGCACTGTGTGCACCGTGCTCTTTCCAAAGATGGTGCTTTATGAACCTTTCATTTCCATTTGTTCTCAAGGGTTTTCCTTCTGAAAAGGCAGAAGGTTTTGTCGCAACAAGAGAGAAATTCCATTAAGAGGAGGAAAATCATGAGCTTATTTTGTTTTTCTTTTCTTTTCCCTAGAGTCTGAATGGTGTTTGGCTGAACAGAGAGCGTCTGGCACCATTACAGGTTTATTGCATCCAGAAGGGAGACCATATCCAGCTTGGAGTGCCACTGGAAAATAAGGAGAATGCGGAGTATGAATATGAAGTTATCGAGGAAGACTGGGAGAGGCTGTGTCCCTGCCTGGCTCCAAAGAATGAGCAGACGGGGGAAAAAAATAAAGACTTGAGAACTAAAAGGAAGTTGAGTTTGGATGGACTAGAGAGTCCCGCAGCTGACGGTCCCTCGGATCTCAAATGCAGAGTCACTGCACTGTCCTGCAAAGCTCTTGAGCCGGTGAAGTTACAAGTCAAAGGTGAAGCGGCGAGTCAGCCCTTGGGATGCTCGTGTCCTAAGCTGACTTCTCTGGAGGCTCACGCTTGCTCTGCTCTCCCAAAGATCATCGAACTTTACCCCAAGAAACAGAAGGGCTCCAACCCTTCCGCATCCCAGAGCAGCTTAGAGCTGTTTAAGGTGACCATGTCCCGGATTCTGAAGCTGAAAACCCAGATGCAGGAAAAGCAGATCGCTGTTCTGAATGTGAAGAGGCAGACCCGGAAGGGGAGCTCGAAGAAAGTCGTGAGGATGGAGAAGGAGCTGCAAGCTCTACAGTCTCAGCTGTATGCAGAGCAGACTCAGCAGCAGGCGCGGGTGGAGCAGCTGGAGAAGACTTTCCAGGAGGAGCAGCATCACCTCCAGGTACCACAGAGCTGGCAGGCACTTGGTGAACTTTTGGCTAGAGTTGTCTCTGAAGCCAGCCCAGATGCTAAGCATAGGAGACAGGATGGGAGCAGAAAGCCAAGGTGCAGGTTTGGAAAGATCAAGGTTTCAGCACACTGATGGGGTCAGGAGCCAGTTAGGGCGCCAAGATGAGTAAGGTGACGCAGAAGCCACCTGGGATGTGACTGATCTCTGATCGAAACCTCAGGTGTTTGAGATCCAAGATAAATTCAGGGAGAAGCCGGGTAAGGGCTAGGGTACCACAGACCGTAATGTCCTTGGGACTCATTTCTTTGCTCTGTGTGCCCAGAACCAAGTCACAGCCCAGAGCTGACTGCCCTTGTACGTGACAGCTTGTTGACTGTGAGGTTAACTCTAGCTAACGGGGTTGTGGAGGCGGAGATGAAGGTTTTGTTCCTATCTTGATCAATCAGAATGCCATGGAAGGGCACACAGCTGGCTATGATAAGCCACATCCTTTACTAGAAGATAAAAGAAGTATCTGAGTGGTCTGGAGGTAGGCCCAAGCATGTCCTGGTCTCCAGATTGTCGGCTTAGATGACAGGCTCTTGCCAAAGCTTCAGGCTGGAGCTGTCCTGTCCCTGCTTAAAATGTCAGTTCCCAGATGGCAGGAACCTTGTCAATCCTACCCTAGTCGTTCAGGTAACGGTGAATGTCAAGAACTCCCTGTTGTTGACTTAGAACCCGGAAGGACCGGTCACAGCTGAAGTGAAAGGTGTTTTTATCTTGCTTGGGTCTCTCTGGGCGAGGAACAGTCTGTAGTGGCGTTGGCTTATTTCTGAAGAATTTATAAATTTCATTCTAATCTCTGCTGTCTCCTCAAGCGGGTAGGAATAGCAAAAGCCATGGCTTACCTAGGCGCCTTCAGGGCATGCATGGTGGGTGTGCATAGCTTCTGCTTCCCGTGTCCAGCCCAGACAACTGGAGTTTACAGAGGGTGGGAATCTGCTGCTGTTCAGGGTTTCACACCTCCGCTGAGCAGAGTTCTCTAAAGGACCGTGTGTTCAGAAACAATCGAGCACGTCTGGGATTAACACGCGAGGCTACTCCGTGTGCTGAAGAGAGAGCTGCAGAGTCCTTCCTCTGGGCAGAAGGGTAAAGACAAGAGACTGGCTCAGCGACAATTTCTTCACGTCACGTGTGCGTGACTTCAAGAAGCATATCCAGCTCTTTGTGTTAGTGTGTCTCCCTCTGCCCCCGGGCTAGCCTGGCCTGCCACCGCTCCAGAAGCTGTTGCCCCCGGCCTCATGCTTGGTGTTTGGAACACCATATTGCCTGACGCTGTATTGAGAATTCTGCTTGGTATTAAAATGCTTAGTGTTGTTTTTAATCATTAAGTAATTTATCTTGTTGAGACAAGATGTGCTGCCCGTTAGCACACTGGAAGAATGATTTTCAGGGTTGCCCATTCAATTAAGAACGATTCAAAATCCCCCACCTGTAGGTAATTCTTAAGGCAGCAAGAACACAGGCTGTGTGGACAAAGCGGGCCGCAGATGAGTGACGGTTTCGATGGCTGCCGGAGGGAAAAGGCAGCAGAGGCCCAGGCGAGGGCAGAGTGGCTTGTAGAGGGTGGTCAGCGTCGGGGGGGGGGGGGGGGTGTTTGTGTCTGTGCCTCACTTCCCGGTCTTAGCCATTTGAGTACAGGCGTCAGGTGATGGAAGAAGCCTAGGCTGTCCACCCTGTTTGCAGAGCCGCTCAGCTGCCGGCTTGAGGCTGACAGCCCTGGGTGTGCGGTGGTGGAGCCGAGAACAGTTCAGATCCTTGCGACGACAGCCTGAAGTGAAATGGGTTCTGCCTGCTCCCTGCCCCATGCTGTCCTGTCACACCTGCTTGTTCAGGATCTTGTCCCCTCCCCCTGGACTGCAGGGAAACCTTCCTTTTGTTTTGGCTTTTCAGGGTTTGGAGAAAGAGCAGGACGAGGATCTGAAGCAACAGCTGGTCCAGGCCCTGCAGGAGGTAACCCAGTCTCCCCCACTTCAAAGGCCGTGGTAGTTGGGAGTGGGGAACAGCCGGGCATCACGGGCCACTAGCTGCCTCCGCCTCGGGCCCACCGCTCTGTGATCTCCAGTCTGCGAACAGAGCAGGTGGCAGATGCTCACACCATCCGGTTGGAGGTTGGCAGCCTCACAGATACACACCAGATCTCACATGGAAACTTAGGTCTTCATCAAGTAGAAGCCGCCCTGGTGATGACGAAACAGCCTGTAGGAAGTTTGGAAGCTCTCTGGAATAGGGACTCTACTTCCAGAATAGTAAAGGCAGCAGAGGGGAGATGTTAGCTAGGGCTTGGGCCTGGGGACCTTTGTACCTCACCATCCCTGCACTGTGGCATCCAGAAACCATTCAAGAATGTTCCAGTCAAGCATTCTAGGCCATTTTGAGGATGTACAGTCTAAAGCAAAAGCAGCCACCTACAAGAGTGACACTCAGGGCATCCGTCACCTAAAAGACGGCTTGTGGTTTGTGTCATTGAACCCTATGGCTGCTTTTACGTGGCTGCCTTTTGTGTGTTCTTGTATATCCTTAAAACATCTTCCAGCTGGATGTAGCAGTGCACACCTTTAATCCCAACACATGGAGGCAGAGGCAGTCCGATCTCTGAGTTCCAGGACAGTCTGGTCTACAGAGTGAGACCCTGTCTCAAAAGCAAACAACAACAACAGAACACCCTTGCTTCGTCTTTGGGCTTTGATTATGACCAGCAGTTTGGTACAAGTTTAGTCAAGGTTATGAGATGGTTAGCCCCCCTTGCGCACAGTGAGCAGCAGCTTTGCCTGTAAACCTGCTCAGGGTCATCTTTCTATTTGTTGATTGCAGACCTGTGCCTCAGCCTTGTCGTTGCTAACAGTTATGTGAGAAGGAGCCTGTCTTGATTTCCTTGTGGGGAGGTGCACAAATAGCTTTGGAAATAATTAGGTGAAAATTATATCTTTGGAATTTTATTTTTTGAGCTTATCTGCTTTATAGGGTAAAAGGTTAGGCATTGTTCCCATTTGAGTACTTAAATTTTGTTTGTTATTCTTTATTTAGTGTGTGAAAGTACACAGGCACTCACGTGTGGGGCTGGAGACCTGAGTTTGGTTGCCAGCATGCATATTAGACAGCTTACAACCTCTTGTAACTCCAGCTCCAAGAGACTGGACACCCTCTTTTGGCCTCCCAGGGTGCCTGTACACAGGTAGCTTAAACTCATACAAACACACTAACATAAAAACAAAAACACCTTTAGAGATACATCAGCACATTAAAAAAAGTCGTGTCTGGGTGCTCACGTGCCACAGTGTGTGTGAGGACAGCTTTCAGGAGTGGGTCCTCTCCTCCGTGTGGATTCGGGACTCCAGCTTGGTCATCCGGGTTCGCACTGCAGATGCCTTTCCCTGCCGAGCCATCTCACTGCCTCCTGTGGAGGGCTTAAACTAGTGTTAGATGTTTGGAGCCGGCTAGAGGACTCAGCGTTTGCCGTGCAGAAGGTCTGGTATGTCACCGGCTCCCTGGTGGCTCCGGCAGCTCACCTGCTCTAACACAGGAGAACATGTATGTCATGAGGTGCTTCATCATGCAGTCATCAGTCAGCGTGGTTTCAGGTCATACTTGGCCATCGTGCGTAAGGGACGTGCCACTGCCAGATGACACTGTTGATCTGGTGTTCTCCTTCCAGACTGGTAGAAGAACTGGCCTTTACACAGGGTTTTCATAACCTTTTCAGAATGCTTGTCGCATTCGGTATCTTCTTATCAACACTTGTGGGAGGGTGACATGTTTTCCCATTTTATAGATGAGATAGTTAAGGAACATGAACATAATTAGTGGTTAAGATGAAGACCTAGACCTTCAGGTAACCACACACTGATGCATTTGTTTCTTTTTTCAACTTTTTTTAAAAAAAGATTTGTTTAATTTTTTATATGTGTTTGTGTATGAAGGTATGGTGTATGAGTTCAGGTGCCCTTGGAGACCAGGGGCATCAAATTCCATGAAGCTAGAGTTACAGGAGATTGACCTGTCCGACGTGGGTGCTGGGAACCGGCCTCGGGCCCACATACTTAACAGCATGATGCTCTGCAATAAATGCTGAGCTGTCTCTGCAGCCCCTAGATTCGTTTCTTGAAATTATCTGCAAAGAAACACCTTTATTCTACCTTCTTTAAAGAGCATTCAAGGTGAGAGTCTTAAGTGTGAGCTGTACTTATGCACAGGGGGACTCAGTTTTCTTCCTTTTTTTCTGCTTTCCCTCCCTCCCTCCCTCCCTCCCTCCCTCCCTCCGATCCTTCTGTGTTCTTTCCTTTGCTTGCCCGATATCAAGCCTAGGCCCTCACGCACACTAAGTATAGGGTCTATGACGGGGTCACATCCCAGTCCATAAATTTTGTTGCGTGGCTGGAGAACCTGTGGACATTTGGTGTAAGGAGTCAGTCACAGTGTATCAGCTGTTGGCACTTGGGCATGCCAGCTTGTAGAAGACCCTAGCCAGGTTAGTTAGCCAGGTTAGTTTGAAAGGACTAACAGATTTGCTGCCCACCCCCCTGTCCTGATCCGTCCATCCTGAATGAAAGAAGGCTGCTTTTGAAATTGGCACCACTGGTCCCTAACCCAAAGTCCCCGAGCCTCCGGAGGGAAGCAGCAGAGGTGTGCGGCCAGCCAGGGTGGTTCCGGCCCGTCCTGATGGCTTACCTGCTCTTTCTGCAGCATCGAGCTCTGATGGAAGAGCTGAATCACAGCAAGAAGGACTTTGAGAAAATCATTCAAGCCAAGAACAAAGAACTGGAGCAGGCCAAGGTACTGGACAGAGGGGCTTAGAATCTAGTTAGCTCGCGACGCCCGGCATTCCCAGGAATGCACGGTTGCTGTGGTGAGTAAAGACAGATGCCCTGTAAAGGTCTCCCTAGAGAGAAGCTGCTGCCTGGTTGAGAAGCTCTGTGCTGGGAGGAGGTGACCTGCATCCTGGCCTATCTGGGGGTTCTCTCAGGATGTGTCTCCCCCATTAAATCCATAGAACTTTTTGCTGTTGTCTGTTTTGTTTTGGTTTTGTCTGTTTTTTTCAAGATGGTTTCTTCCTGTAGCTCTGGTTGTCCCAAAACTCGCTCTGTAGCCAGGCTGGCCTTGAACTCACAAAGGTCCCCCTGCCTCTGCCTCCCAATTACTGGGATTAAAGGCATGTGTCACCAGTGCCCAGTAGACCTCTTAAATTATAAGTTACAAACAAATGCCTACCAGGGCCAGACCAGTAATAAAAGTGAGGAAGAGGCCTGGGCGTGAGGGCGCTGGAGGAGCTGTGAGGACCAAGCTGCTTCCTAACTCCTCCCCAGAAGGCCGCACTTTTCTACCCAGCACTTGCCACCCAGAAATGCAAGCCCAGTCTGTCAGATCCGATTTCTTCATAGTAAGCAGAAATCCAGATGTTTGAATTACCCCAATTTTCAAATATTGTCAACAAGTTGTTTTTAAGTTTCTATAATCAAAAAGTACACATTTATGAGAAATTATACGGTTTTTCAATAGAGGTACAAGTTCAGATTTTGTATGTGTTTTAAATATCATAAAGGCCAAGCTAAACCGAGCTGTGGGCGGCCAGTCCACAGGCAGTTTCTAATCTGCAATGAGTGTCTGGGTCAGGCTGCATCCTCCCCCACTCCAGAACTAGAGCTTTGGACAAAAAGGAGGAGACTGTGCCCCCAGCAGATTTGATGTACCTGTCCTGGGTGCTAGGGATGGACCTGGTGCTCAGCTTCCTGGGCCCGCTCTATCCTGAGCGGCAGCCTCTAAGTATATTGTGTTTGCTGAGACAGGACTTCACTGTGTACCCCAGGCTGGCCAGTTATGTACCCCAGGCTGGCCAGTGATCTACTTCTACCTAGCTGATGCTAGCACTGCTGTCAGGCACTGCCCGCATGGGGTTCCCACAACTTTTCTTTTGTTTTTTTGAGGTGGGTCTCATAGTGCAGGCTGGCCTCACACTTACTGTGTAGCCAAAAATGACCTTGAACTCATTTTCTCTCTTAAAATATTTTTTATTATTTTGAACATACACTTGTAATTTGCCAGCGCTGGAGGGATGGCTCAGAGGTTAAGAGCACTGGCTGCTCTTCCAGAGGTCCTGAGTTCAATTCCCAGCAACTACGTGGTGACTCACAACCATCTGTAATGAGATCTGGTGCCCTCTTCTGGCCTGCAGGGACACATGCAGGCAGAACACTGTACACATAATAAATATTTTTTAAAAAAGTAATTTGCCTGTATGTCTTTGCACCACATATGTGTGTAGTGCCTGAAGAGGCCAGAAGGGGATGTTGGGTCCCCTGGAACTGGAGTTACAGACAGTTGTAAACTTCCTTGTGGGTACGAAGAATCGAACCTGGGTCATCTGGCAGAGCAGCCCATGCTCTTCACCACAGAGCCATCTCTCCAGCCCCTCCACATAAACTCTTGATCCTCCCTTTCTAACTCCCGTGGCTATCTCTTTGCTTTACCACATATTTTGAAACCCAAGAATTTAAAAATCCTCAGAGTAGGCTGGTGAGGTGGCTCAGTGGTTAAGAACACTTGTTGCTTTTCAGGGGACCCAGGTTCAATCCCTAGCCCTCCACATGGTGACTCACAACCATCTGCAACTCCAGTTTCAGGGGGAGTTACCAACCTGTTACCAGGACATACATGGTGCATAGCCATGCATGTAGACAAAACACCCATACACATAAAACAAATCTAAAAGAGAAAAAAAAAATTGTCAGAGAAACGAGCCTGGATCCTCCTTTTCCCCTGTGTGATTTGATAGTCTGTTTTGATTAGAAAAGAAAAAGAGGAACAATGAACCGACTGCTTAGATCTATTGTGAGTGGATTTTCCTCCCTTTCTTAGGCTCCTGTTCCTTTCTGTTTGGGGGTGATAGAACTAACTTACGACTTCCAAAGAGCATCCCGAAGGTCCTTCCTAAGGACAGCACCACAGGTGCTCAGACCTTGGGGAGAGCGTGGGAGCAGAAGCGGGAGGCGGCAAGCTCCATACAGTTTAGCGCCTAAAAGTCCCGGGGGAGTCCGTCTTTCCATCCATGCCTCCGGAAGAAGGGTGTTATTCTTCGGTCATCAAGAGACAGCTGCCGACAACGCCTTAGTCAAGCCCCTGCCTCTCGAGTGCTCTTTCTATCCTGTCCTGTGAAGTTTTAATTTAGGGGACACTTGACTACTCAGGCTCAGCTTGTTAGAGAATATTTTAGTGCCCCCCCCCACCCCCCACCCCGCTTTGGCTACTTTTCAAAGTTCTGCAGGCTGGGAAGTCCCAAGAAGGTGCTGGCAGATGTGGAGTCTGGCAAGGACACGGTTTTGGTTCACAGAAGATGCCTTGTCTCCGTGTCTTCACTTGGGAGAAGAGCAGGGCCAGCTCCTGCAGGCTTTGTCCTGGGCCACTCCTCCTGTCCCGCCCGCCCGTCCTAGCCACCTAAGGGCCTCACCCTTCATGCTGTCCCACTGCAGGTCAGCGTTCAGTGGGAACTGACCACAACAGCCGGGGAGAGGGGAGACAGGAGCTAGCGTCCCTGGGAAAGGGTGACCCCAGGGAGCTGCACCGGATCCTGCTCCCCTCGGCTAACCTTGCTCTCGTCCTGTCCTGCGTTCTGGTTTGTTGCCCCAGGTGACAGGTGGCCTTGTGTCTTTGCAGGAAGAAAAGGAGAAGGTCCAAGCACAGAAGGAGGAGGTCCTCAGCCACATGAATGACGTGCTGGAGAACGAGCTTCAGTGCATCATCTGCTCCGAGTACTTCATCGAGGTAAGTGCTCGCAGTGCTCGCCCCACCCCGCGGGGTGCGCCAGCCCACGGGCTGCTGCTGCTGCTGCTGCTGCAGGAATCACTGGAAAGAATTTATTCAGCAACCTAGTGCAGTATGTGCTCAAGGTGATGTCTGAAGGCAGCCACTTCTCATTACATCGTGCAGGCTTCACCCTGCTTTTTGTGTTTGTTTTTGGTTTTTTGAGACAGGGTTTCTCTGTGTAGTTTTCGTGCCTGTCCCAGATCTCACTCTAGACCAGGCTGGCTTCAAACTCCCAGAGATCCGCCTGCCTCTGCCTCCCGCATGCTGGGGTTAAGGGCGTGTGCCACCACTGCCCGGCTCACGCTGCTTTTTTTCTGCTTAGACATTTACTTAGCACAATTACCATTTTAACTGCAGTGAAAGCCTATCAGGGCCACTAGCATTAGAATTTTGAAGTATTGGAATAAAGCTGCCCACCAGTGCTGTCCTCTGCTCGGGCACAGGGCTCAGCGTGGGCTTGGAGTATGTCCTTTTGAAGCAGCCAGTGAGTGCCATTGACCGTGTGGTTACTCTGAGTATTCAGGGCCAGAGTGAAGACATGTCAGGGCTTTGGGGGCCCTTTTGAAAACGAAGCACTCTCTCCTAGGCTACCATTTGTTACTTTGTTACCAGCTCTTTTAGTTTTTGTTAATTTCATTCATTTGTAACCAGTTCATTTTATACTAAAAGTGTTAAGCATATGCTGTCAAATGGCAGGGTTTTTTAGATAGCTTTGGAAAGTGCATGTATACACAGAGGGAGTCCTGTTCTGAGGCAAACTCTAGGGAGGCTGGCTGTGCTAACCTTCTGCATCTCTCATAAGATCGGTGTCTTTGACTGGGTCACGTTGACTACAGGTCACTGGTTTCTGCAGTTTCTAGTCTGATGACTCCCTGCTGTGGAGAAACTCCTTGCTCAGGACTGTGGAAGCTACAGAAGACGGAAAGGGGGTAGAAATGGGCGGGAAGTAAGCATCTTTTTGTTTGGTTTTTGAGACGGTTTCTCTGTGTAGTTCTGGTGCCTGTCCTGGATCTCGCTCTGTAGACCAGGCTGACCTTGAACTCACAGAGATCCGCCTGCTTCTGCCTCCCGAGCGCTGGGATTAAAGATGTGCACCACCACCTCCCCGCATCTCAGAGCGTCTTTGTAAGATGGGATTGGGGAACTTTCCTGTGGGCCTTGGAGAAAGTAAGAGTGGCAAGTGTTAGCTGTGTGTCCTTTCACATTGTAGGCCGTCACCCTGAACTGTGCCCACAGTTTCTGCTCCTTCTGTATCAGTGAATGGATGAAACGGAAAGTCGAGTGTCCCATTTGTCGGAAGGACATTGAGTCCAAAACCCACTCCCTGGTTCTGGACAATTGCATTAATAAGATGGTGGATAATCTGAGCTCAGAAGTGAAAGAGAGACGGAATAGCCTTCTTAGGGAACGGAAAGGTGAGTAGCTTCTGAGAACTCATCATCATCATCAAAGGACTTCATTACTTCTGAACCACATCAAGTCCTCTTTGGGGGTGGAGGTGGGGAATAGAGTTTACTAAATGATTTTTTAATTAAGGACAGGCAGGAGAAAAGAGAGTTAAAGGGAATTCAGACAACCACGTAGGAAAGGACTGAATTAGAATTAACCTGTAATTTGAGCATCCAAGGGATGGGAAGCTTAACTGTGTATATCCTGGTCCTTCCTTGGAGGGCAGTGAAGGAAAGCTGGGACCAGAAGACAGGCAGATGGTTTGCCATACGGACCACCAGATGGCGCTGTTGCTGAAGACAGCTTGGTTCTGCCGCTTGAGTTGACAGATTAGAAATAAGATGTGTTTAAGTCGGATTCACGACGTGGAGAGTACCTGGGGAAACATACGAGCTCTCTTTGTAAGAGCCGTGGCTTATGGCCGGGCCTAGCTCAGCAGTACTTCCCTGGTATGCACAAGGCCCTGGGTTCGGCCCCCAGGGATGGATATTCCACATGCGTGCACCTGTTCTGTCTCCCAGTCGGAAGACTTTGGATGAAAAGATTGGGGAGAGAATGTTCATTGAAGTCAGGTTCTCAGCCTTCCCAATGCTGTGACTCTAATACAGTTCCTCATGCTGTGGTGACCCCCAAGGATGGAATTATTTTCGATGCTACTTCACAACTGCAGTTTTGCTGCTCTTATGAACCATGACGTAAATAGCTGTATTTTCCGATAGTCTTTTGGGGTTGTGACCTGCAGGTTGGGACCACTGATTTAAGTGACCATGCCCACCTGGGACTTGCCGTGTTAAGGCCTGCAGAGGGCCACTTCTCTTGGTGGTGGCACCGCAGATTTTCAGAGCCAACCAAGGAAGCTCCTGGGTAGGATGTATTGGTTGTTGAGTAGAGATCCGTTGTGCAAAAGGCGGAGTGGGGATGGCTGTATCGTGCCATCACTACCCTCTGGGAACTGGAAATTAACCAGAAGCTGCTGGCCATAACGGCCAGCTGGCCAGTGTGTGTGCCGTGGTCGTACTCCTAAGAAGTAGGGACAGGAATCTTGTGACTCCTACACAGCTGTGATGGCAAACCGGGCAGGCAGCAGGCCCCTCCTAGAGCTGGTGGTGTGGAAACTGAGCGGGAAGCGTGTCTTAGGCGGTGGCTCTCGAGGAATGTGGTCCGAAGCTTGAAAGGGAGGGTTCTTGGTTGCTTCCCTGGTAGCTGCTGGAGGATTGTGTGCCCAGTGTGGAGCCCCCCAGATGTTACCTCTGCCCGTGGCTCTCCCCATTCTCGCCATTTCCGCCTTGTCATTCCATAAGAACACACACTGGCCCTGGGTGGAGAGCAATGCCCATCCTCCCCTGAGTGCTCCCAGCTCTTCTCATCTGCTGGGGGACAGAGCGGCCAGGACTCCGCAGCAGGGGGCTGGGCGGCATCACAGGAAGGACTGCTTACGCTGGCCTGGGCAGGGGCAGTGAGAGGATCCTCTAAAGGAAGTGACGTGTGGGCCAAGTTTCATGGCTTCCCGGATGCTCGTTTTCCAGCCGGAGGACATGGCACTCACCTTGCGGAACAGCCAGGCCTGGGAGGCTCTGCTGGTGCCTAGAAGTTCGTTTTGTCATCTTGCTTCCCTTCTGAGAGGACAGCGGCCCTGGCCCGGGAGCCAGATTCGATCAGGGTCAGGTTATGACCTTTGAGCTGGCATGTGTTGTCTGCGTCAGTGTGGGGCACCTATGAGAGTTTGGTTTGCCCAGGGCATGCCTCACTGTGTTCTCCTGAGTCCACTCACGGCTGATGACTTCAGAAGAGCCCACGTCCATCTCTGTCTCCTCTGCTGTAGAGGTGCTTGTGTAGAGGAAATACCCCAGTCCTCTCCCATTCTCTGCAGAGGATACGAGGCTACCCGGGCCTCTCTGGCCATGGGAGTGACGGCACAGGGAAGAGCTCTCTGCTGCATGCACTTCTGGCAGCCGGGTCCACCCACTGTCTGCAGTTCTCACAGCAAGTGCAGCTCTGGGCTTGTCTCTAGACAGACTGAAGCTTCCAGTTCCAGAGCCATCAGCAGCTCTGCTGGGCTGCAGTGTGGGGGCTAGAGAAAATTCTAACTTAAAATGCCAGCTCTCTTTGAATGTTCTGGTGCCATTTGAAAGCTGGTTTAATCCTTAGTGCATGGGAATTTTTTTCTTTCTTTTTCTTTTTTTTTCCTTTTTTTTTTCTTTTTTTTTTTTTTTTTGGATTTTCAAGACAGGGTTTCTCTGTGTAGCTCTGGCTGTTCTGGAACTCCCTCTGTAGACCAGGCTGGCCTCAAACTCAGATCCGCTGCCTCTGCCTCCCGAGTGCTAGAATTAAAGGTGTGCACCACCACCTTCCAGCTTGCATGGGAATTTTAAAAAAAGAACTTAGGATCTGGGGCTGGAGAGATGGTTCAGTGGTCGAGTGCACTTGCTGCTCTTCCAGAGGACATGAGTTCAAGTCCCAGCACCCACATAGTGGCTCACGGTAACTCCAGTTCCAGGGGATCCGACAGCTCGGGTACCAGGTATGCACACGGTGCACGTAGATACATGTAGATAAAACACCCATACACATCAATCAATCAATCAATCAACCAATCAATCAATCAAATCAAGTCCAAAGAGCTTAGGCTCCGGAAAGTGGCAGGCGTTGGGTTGTTTCCCCGTGCAGATGTCCCGAGTTCTCACCTCACCGAGAGCAGTGCCTTCCTCAGCCTCCCTCACTGGTGGGTTCTCAGGGGGAAAGGCACCTCCTGACTGAGAAGCCTGAGGAGAGGAGTGGGTATGAGGAAGCTGGATCCAGAATTAAAGAAGCATACCCTGAAGCTGGGGTGGATAACATACGTTCAGGTCAGGTATTTGTACCAGGGGTCACTGTGGCTGTGTGTAGTGTTGACACAGGCCGGAGCTGGTGAAGGGAGGGAGGGAACTTTCCTTTCTTTTTTTTTTTTTAAAAGATTTCTTTTTAATTTTTTTTTTAAATAATAATACCAAGCAGGGCACATTGGCACACACCTTTTTTTTTTTTTTTTAAAGATTTATTTATTATGTACACAGAAGAGGACCCCAGATCTCATTACAGAGATCACATGGTGAGCCACCATGTGGGTGCTGGGAATTGAACTCAGGACCTCTGGAAGAGCAGCCAGTGCTCTTAACCTCTGAGCCATCTCTCCAGCCCCATCCTTTCTTTTTTTGAAGATCCACCTGCCTCTGCCTCTGGGACTAAAGGCGAGGGCCGCTAACCCCGTCAGGAAAATTCTTCTGCCAGAAACTTCCTCTCCACCTTTCCTTCTGCTCTTAATTAAGTGAATTAGCTGACAAGGTTGCTCACGCTCTGGTTTCCCCCGCAGTTTTTCCCTGGTTCTGTGGTGGTTTAGGGGTGGGTTTGAGACAGTCTTACTCTGTAGGACAAGCTGGAACTCGAAGCTGTCCTTTGGGACCCTCCCAAGTGTCAGGATCTTAGGCTTTGCACTGCGCCCTGCTTCCCCACAGTTTCCTAAACGAAAGAAGCAGGCCTAGAGATGTAGCCGGCTGGTGAGCATCCTCACCCAGCTCCGGAGGCGGGCAGTGTACAAACCCCAAGCAGCTGGAGGTACACTACTTTCCGCTCTGGTTTCTTCAGATCGCATCCTCCCAACCCCTTCCTGCTGTATCACTGAATTGAAGCTTCTGATGAGCATGTGTGGTGCAGAGGGCATTATGAATCTGTACGACATGAGCTGTTCAGAACCATCTGGCCTGTGACTTCTGCCCCTTCAGTTAGCTAAGAGGAAGTGGTCCAGAGAAGCTGGCAGGGTCCTGACTCTGAAGAGGTCTGTCTGCTCCCCTGGAAGCCTCTCTGATGTTGCCCATCTCCTTTCTCAGAAGACAGCCTTGAAAGAAATATTTGGTGGGGTGGTTAGCAGCCAGGTGATACCTAGCAAATCACCATTAGACAGCAGCTACTTCTGTGACTTAGCACTGTCCCCAGAGACTGTCATTTACATGAAGACAGCATGGAGTTCCTGTCTATCTGTTTGCCTAAGGAAAATGGCTCGGCAAGGTTGCACTCAGAATGTGCAGAACTACACTTGATTGATTGATTGATTGATTGAGGCAGGGTCTGCTGTGTAGACCAAGCTAAGCTCAAACTCAGAGATTCACCTGCCTCTGCCTCCCTACTTCCACCATGCCTAGCTATAAGTTTGTGATTTTTAAAACTCTGTTTTGTAAAATCATCACAGGATGACAACAAACAGTCATTACTAGAGGCATTTCTTCGTTGCTGCCCCTTTTCCCGGTCTTCTGTTCCTTTCCTCGTCATTGACAGTTTCCTCTGTTTCCCTTTTCATCCTTGATTGATGAGTCACGATACCGTTTGAGAAAACAGGAAAGGTGGGGTGAGGACCTGAGTGTGATTCCTGAACCACTTAGAAAGCTGGGCCTGGAGGCTCCTAAAATCCCAGGGCTGGGGAAGTGGGGACAGGCATGTTCTTGGGGCTCCCTGGGAGCTTCCTCGGTGGCCTCAGGTTGCAATGAGAGACTGTCTCAAAGAGCTGGGTGGACAGCCGAGGAGGGACCCTAAGGTCGGCTGTCCCCCCACTCACATGCACAGCCGTGATGCTCCCCTGCATGCATCCGTTCAGAGAGATGACGGTGGCATCACGGGAACTGTTGGAGAAAGGACTGTCCATTGTGGTGGCCAGCTCTGGGGTTGACTGGATGAAGTAGCGACCCCGAGTCCTGGCACCTCTGACTTCTCGTCTGTGGTCCCTGTGATTGCAGACACTGTTCTGACTTAGCTCTGTAGGAGACTCTTTGCCTTGTCACCAGAAGCGGCTACCCGGGATAGAGGATGGCTTTCCCAAGTGCCCTGAGTCCTCTTCCATCCACCCAGCCGCACAGACAGCTGTGTTCGAGAGAGCCACGCAGTGCTCAGTAGCGGTCCTGGGCTGACCTTGAATACCTGTCCACCTCACATTTAAACAGAGACCTCGCGTGGTCTCGCGCTGCAGTCAGTGGCTCCTGAACCTGCCATGTCTTGAAGGTGAAGACTGCTTGCTGTGCCAGGTGGGATCCTCTAGCTGCTGGAGGCGCTTGGGCAGTGCCGTCAGCCCACAGCCCAGCTTCCACCAGGACCAAGCTTCAAGCCATGGCACGAGCTGGCTCACTTTCTCCCTTTACTCTGGTGGTTGTGGAGAAAAAGCAAAGGAGGGAAAAACGATAGGAGGGGATGTGGGGGATGGAACACAGGCTCCTCCTTCATGTGTCTGTCTTTCTCTCCAAAGCAAAGAGACTGTCATGAAGGTCACCCTCCAAGGACATGTGAGAGACACTAGGGGAAGGCGTCTTGGAGTGACCTAGAGGATTCCTGGATTCCCTCAGGCTGCTCTGGACATCACCTGGGAGGTCACGTGCGGCAGAGACTGAGTTAGGAAGCCTGTATCACTGGCCTTCCATCTGCCAACCCTACCGACACCATCGTCTAAGGGACCACGGGACTCCCCCACCGACCGCTTCACTACATGATGAATGAGTTGAGTTGTACATTTCCGGATGTGTTGGTTGATTTTGGTACCTCATGCACCCTGTTGACATCATCCTGGACAGCTGGGTGCACCCTATGGCTGCCCTGAAGGCAGCGTGCGTTTGGAGTCTGGTTTACCTTTCTTTGTGAAAACAAGATGTCATTTCTTAGAAATAAAATGTAAAACCCGCCAGTTGCTCGCAGGCTTCGGTGTGTTTGCCTGCCTTTGCCTCTGGCTCCCAGATGGTCTCCCAGGTAAACACTGGCAGCTCATAGACTGCAGCCGGGAGAGAGGCTGTCCGTGATAGACTGCCAGCAACGCCAGCCCGGGAGCTCAAGTTCACGGCTGCGCCTGCTGGGCTCTCGGGATTCTGTTTTCATTCTGGGGTGTCACTGCTGTCCTTTTTCAGGGGTATTTTCATTCAGATGCCATTCAGGGCTACTTCCAGCTCTCTTTCCTGAACAAGCGGTGATTTAATGAGAAATTAACACATCTCTCCTCTTCCTTTAAAAGCTGTGGGTTTCTTGGTTGGTTGGTTTTGCCTGCCATCTTTTTCCACACATTTTTCTTTAACCCCCTTGATACAGTTTCACATAGCTCAGGCTACCCCCAAACAGTGTGTGACTGAGGGAGACCTTGCCCTTTGCCTACTCCTACCTCTGCCTCCTGAGTGCTGGGGTCACAGCTGTGCCACTGAGTTAGCTGAGAGGGGAGCCCGGGACCCTGTGCCTGTAGTGGGGATGCAAAACTGTTACATCGTGTAGTGACTTAACTCCCTTCTGCCCAGAGAAGCATTCTTTTAAAACTCTTCGGGTAGGAGGTCAGAGTGCACGTGTGTTCCAGAGGTCAGCAGCCCAAGTGACCCTTGTCTTTGTTTTTTTTTTAAGTTGTTTTGAGACCAGGTCTCTCTATGTAACCCCGCTGTACATGACTCACTCTGTAGACCAGGCTGGCCTTGAACTCAGAGAGATCCACCTCCCACTGCCTCCCAAATACTGGGATTAAAGGTGTGTCCCGCAGTGCGTGGCCTCCACGTTGTTTTTCGAGACAGAGTCTTATTAGCCTGGAGCTTGCCAAGCAGGCCTGGCTAGCCAGTGAGTCCCAGAGAGCTCGCTGTCTCCGCCTCCCGGTGCCAGGATCATAGGTGTGCGTGTACCACCGTGCCTGGAGTTGAGTGTGACTTGGGGCCTCAGACGTGGGTCTTCAAGCTTGCATGGCGGATACTTTATGGACTGGGTTCTCGATCCATCTCTTTAGGTTTGTACCTTGTTGATGGTTGGGAACTGTGGACAACTTTTTAGAGGAACAGTGGTAGACACTTGGATAGCACGTGCCGTGTAAGGCCCTGGGTTCGATATCCAGCACCAGAAGAAACAAAGACTGGCAGAGTCGAGAAGCAAGGCTGAACTTGAGAAAGAACCATGTCACAAAATTTCTGGAACGTTGGAGAAAGGAAAAACCATTATTGCTATGTTACCATCCCTGCGCAGCGCACAGTCTGTCCTTTTACATTTTTCTGTGCGTGTGTGTGCCTGCTTTCTGTCTGTGCACCACATGCTCACGGGTGCCTTCGGATCCCCGGGAGCTGGAGTTACAGGCAGTTGTGAGCAACCTGCTGTGGGTGCTGGGAACCGAACCTCAGTCCTCTCTAAGAGCAGCAATGCTTTTAACCACGAAGCCATCTCTCCAGCCTCTGTAGTCTGTCTTTTTTTATGCATGGTAATTCTCCTTTAAGAGTACAGGTACATGGGCTGGAGAGATGGCTCAGAGGTTAAGAGCACCGACTGCTCTTCTAGAGGTCCTGAGTTCAATTCCCAGCACCCTCATGGTGGCTCACAACCATCTGTAATGAGATCTGGCACCCTCTCCCGTACACAAAATAAATAAATCTTTAAAAAAAAAAAAGAGTACAGGTACACATTTTATGGAGTATACCACTAGGCCAAGCTTCTGGCTGTTATTGGTAGAAATCTAGGTTGTCTCAAACGTCCTTTTTTAAAATATTTTATGGGTGTGTGTGAGTGTATGTATGTGCACCATGTGTGTGCAGGAGCCCACAGAAGCCAGAAGAGGGCACCGGATGCCCTGGATCTGGAGTTAATAGGTGGTTGTGAGTTGCCATGTGGTGCTGTGATATAAGCCCTGGGCCTCTGAAGGAGCAGATAGAGCTCCTAACCACAAGACACCTCTGAAGGAGCAGGTGGTGCTCCTAACCACTGAGACCCCTTTCCAGCCCTGTGGGAGAGTACCCACCTTTCCCTGGGTACTCTTGAGGAGAGAGGGATAAGAAATTATCAGGTAGAATGATAGGCCAAGTTGATGAGAGGAAAGACAGAAACACAGGATAGCTTCTGGAGGACCCAGCGTCCCAGAACTCTATTCAAAGGGGCTTTTTGTAACAATGCCACCGGGCAAGGCAAAAGTCCTCCCCCTTGCTAAATACATCCAGGTGTAGACCCTTCCAAACACTTGGTACCCAGGCCCGTGGTCCCTTCATCCTCTTATGCAGCCCTGCTGGTAAAGCAAGCTCAGATCTCATTAGGAGACCTCTGTGGGCTCCCACACAGCCCCAAACCTCGACCTCTTAAACCAGTCAACACCGTTGTGCATGTATTGTCCCAGGAAAGGCCTGAACAACACCTCCACTCGAACAAGAGTTCCATCTACAGAGACTAATCTAGACTGACCATGAATTACAGTTTCCAGGAGCAAGCTGTGGCAAACAAAGAATTAATGAAAACTAATTTAAGGCAGACTGCTAGGTTCGAATCCCAGTCCTGCTGATTATAACGGTATAACCTTGGACATGTTTTTCCACCTCTTGGTAGTCGGTCTCTAAGTGGGTCCTCACCTCTATATTATTACAAAGTGAGACCTAAATCATATCCCAGGTTGCACTGCTCACAAACCAGAGTATTCTTTTTTGTTTTGGTTTTGTTTGTTTTGCAACAATGTTTCAGTACACAGCACTGACTGTCCTGGAACTCACTTGATAGCCCAGGCTGGCCTCGAACTCACAGAGATCTGCCTGCCTCTGCCTCCTGAGTGCTGGGATTAAAGGCATGCACCACTCCACTCCACAGAATGTTTTATTTTTAAAAGTTGCAAAAATTCACCTAACCTTCCATTTTTGAGTCCCAGAATGTTCTTTCCCTGGGGAGAGGCGGATACTAACCACCACCTGCATGGTGCTCGCTCAGGAGACGGGCTAGCTCTTGTGCCCTGTGGCACTGGCATGGCCTCGCGGAGGCAGCCGCTGTGCAGCCCTCTACTTAAACTCCACCTGGGTGCTGAGAAACTGGGTGAAGAGGGCGTGTCTCACATCCGGGAATCACTAAGCAGACAATGCAGCCTGCCGGGTGAGGTGCGCTGCCGTGAGTGGCAGGTGTCCCATGTCCGTCTGGGAAAGGCTCCCCCTCCCCTTAGGCTTGCCTCACCCCAGCAAACAGACTGTCCAGGCAGGAGACTTTGCCCTTTGTGGGTGGAAGAGCTGGATGTCCATCATCCGTTTTTCTGATTGGAAGCCACTGTTGTTGTTAAAGGAGCCCTCAGACTCCCTCATTAGTTGGAGCCTCGCTCTTCACTACCTTTTCCTCCTCTGTGAATGACCATCCGTCACAGAACTCCAGTCACCCTGACCCAGGGGTCACCATGACTACGGGGGTGCTTAGACAGGGCAGCTGTCTCCAACTGCTCGATTGCTTTTCATAGCTTTAATCTGCGACTAGACTGTCCACCCCTCATCTGGGGATAAGCCAGAAGTGTGGGGTGCCCCAGGGGTGCTCAGATGGCATCTATTCTAGCAGGTGCCTGATGAATGCCAGGATTTGCATTTGATCCAGAAATCAAGAGGATCTCTAACTTCCAATGACCTTGATCTAAGAAGAACCCAAGATGAGGAGACACTGGGAATCCCTACCCCAGGACTACAGTCTGGCTAGGAGGAGAACTGGGAACCCCTACCCCGGGACTACAGTCTGGCTAGGAGGTAAGGGCCTAAAAGCTTACTTTGCTAAATTTTACTTTTATTTATTTTGCAAACGAGAGTTGCAGTAGGATCGGGTGGCTTCTCTGAAGAAGTTTGTGGGTGAAAAATAACGAACTGTCTTGTTCAGCCAGTTCTTGGGTTCAGGAAAGCCTGCCGATCATAGCAACAGTCTGGGCTTCTGATAGATGCTCGGCAGACACTCAGACGGTGTGTCTGAGTTGATAGTGTCCAGAAGGCCATCCCTCCGTGATGGCCTACCTGAGCTCAAGTAGCAAGTAGTCTCTCCTGCTTTCTGTTGCTTCATGAAATTCTTCTCCTACACCCCCCCCCCAACAGGGTTTCTCTGTGAAACAGTCCTGGCTGTCCTAAAACTTACTCTTTAGACCTGGCTGGCCTTGAACTCACAGAGATCCACCTGCCTCTGCCTCCTGAGTGCTGGGATCAAAGGCGTGCACACCACCAACCGCCTGGCTGCTCTACCAGATTCTAATCTAGATCCTTACCTCAGATTCAGTTTTCAGCCCAGTATCTCTGCGGCTTAGTTAGTTTTGAGTGTTGTAAAAGCCTGAAACTGGCCTGTTTTTTTCTTTCTTTTGTTATACAATGGTCTTCTAATAAATGCAATTCAGTCATAGTTACTGAATTCTTACTTTAATTTGTGTGTATGTGTATGCACACGACTTGTATGTTTATGTGTACCACCAGCTTGCCAGAGCCTAGGGAGGCCAGAAGAGGGTGTCAGATCCCCTGGAACTGTAGTTACAGGTGTTTAACCACCATGTGGGTGCTAAAAACTGAACCTGGGTCCTCTGTAAAAGCAATAAGCCATTCCCCCATAGTTACTGAATTCTTTTGTTTGTTTTGGGTTTCAAGGCAGGATTTCTCTGTGTAACAGTCCTGGCTGTCATGAAACTTGCTTTGTAGACCAGGCTGGCCTCAAACTCACAGACATCCACCTGCCTCTGCCTCTGAGTGCTGGGATTAAAGGCATGTGCCACCATGCCCAGCTTAGTTACTGAATTCTTAAAGCACACGGGCTCACACCCAGAGCTAGCATCTCACACCTGGTCAGCACTACCCAGCAGAGGCAGAGGCAGGCAGATTTCTGAGTTCAAGGCCAGCCTGGTCTACAGAGAGAGTTCCAGGACAGTCGGGGCTACACAGAGAAACTCTGTCTTGAAAAACCAAAAAAAAGGGGGGGGAG